CTCCTGTTATGCAACATAATACTCACAACAATAGCTCTCAGAGAAACAATAAACACATATCGGTGGATATAGTTATTAAATTGTTAGTATCAACTTATGAAGCACTAAAAATAAGGTTAGTTATTTTAAAAATTGAACATCAAGAGTTTGCCCTGGAAATGCTCTAGAGACCCTGTGAGCCTGCAGTACCCCATCAAGAGACTGTGTGGGTGTTTAGGCTGGCTAAAAAGGAGCATAAAAATGGTTTATTAAATTCACTACCCATTTATGAACTAAATGCTTACACAGGCAGAAGCCACCTTTAACTTGGTAAAGGTTGGTGCCACTGCTGCTGGCATTAACACCGTATTTAATTATGAAATGAGCCATCAGAGTGAAGTCCTGCCTCAGACAGGATCCCAGGAACAGATGGGTGTTGTAGCACATGGAAGATGAAGCTGAGGCAGGAGGATCAGGAATTTCAGGCTAGGCTGGGCTACATTGTGAGTCCCTGAGCCAGAAAAACCAAACCAAACAAATAAACAAACAAAACCCCTAGTAAGCATGATGCATAATATTTAACACAATATAGTCTTAACATCAATATTGATACATTCAAAATATCACAACTTTAGATAAAGACACATACCAGGCAAGCTCACCAGAACCTGAGCAAAAAGACAACTCTGTTTTGTTTACTACTCTTGGGTAGGTGCTTTTTTTCATATATATATATATGTATACATATATATATATATATGTCGCACCTGCTGCCTATATGTGTGTGAGTGTGTATGTGTATGTGTGTGTGTGTGTACATGTGTGTGTTGAGGGTGTACATGTTGAGGTGTATGGCATACGTGTGAACATGCATGTCGAGGTCTGAAGCTGGTTATGGATGACTGCTTTAGTCTCTCTATTTTCTGAGGCAAGGCCTCTCAGTTGAACCCAGAGCTCGCTGATCAGCTAGGCTAGCTGCGCAGTTTACCTTAGGGATCCCTCATCTCTACCACTGAATGCTGATGTTGCAGGTGGCTGACAGGGCTGTCTGGAATCCAAATTCTGGTTCTCATGTTTGCTCCACGTGTGCACTATCTGCTGACCCATCCCCCAGCCCCTAATGCAAGCTCCACATTTATAAGTTTCTATACAGAGATACATCTGCGTTTGTGACAAATTCACACAACCTGTTTTTGAAAATGAACAGCCTGAATCTTAACTTACTTTATCCTATGGGTATGAGTTTGTTTAGCAATATAATTGCCCTTTCTTCCCTTTCTTTCTTTTTGAAAAATATGGTGTCACTATGTAGTCTTGGCAAGTCTAGCAACAATTCTACTTTTATAGAACTCATAGAAATCCATCTGCCTCTGCCTCCTGGGTGCTAGGATTAAAGGTGTGCACCACATTCAGCTGTTATTTCTTTGGGAAATTTTTCTGGTATTTCTTGGGACTTTGGCTATTCAGATAAATAAAGCATCTATATAAAGGTAAATTTCCATGCTTGTATTTTCAGCATTTCATGATTTATTCTGTGCACTGACAAGTCTGACGCTTCTCCCACCTTCTCTCTCAATGTGAGTTTCTTATCTGGTTACTAGTGGTGACTGGCTTGATTTAGCAAATAAAAATATGGGATAGATGGCCAAGTAAGCTCTAAAACATAGTAATATCAATTTTCATTTTCAAGATTGTACAACCAGGAAATTTTCTAAGTAGCTTCTCGGTATTGTGTCTCATTGCTAGGATTGAACAGGAGTAACCAGGTGGAGATTACTATCATTATCCCAATTTTATACATCAGGGGAAGATCGAAGGCCTAGATGTTAACTCATTTGACAGATCACAGATAACAACTGTGGGGCCCAGATTCAAATCACTGTTAACTTCTGCTCCAGAGCCACCAGCTGTGCAATCAGTGGGGCAGGCACAGTGACACTTTATCACACTAAGGGTGCATGGAGAATGAAGGATCATGCTTGCCTCAGGCTGCCCAGCTTCCGTTTCTTACATGATAGCCCAGGAAAATTGAGGTTTCATAGAGAATGGTTTCTCTGGACATGACTGGGATAGTAGGTGCACTGTAAAGCCAAGAACTCTTTAAAAGCAAAGTGATTGAGATTGTATATATTTAAACTATAGAGGGTGACATTTTAACACACACATACATTGAATTCATTACGAGTTAAGCTTGTGTGTGTGTGTGTGTGTGTGTGTTGAGAACACTTAAGCTCCACCCCCCTTTCACCTAGCAAATTTTTAGTAGAGTTTATATTGCTAATAATCCCTAATGCTGGTCACTGACCTCCAGAATGTCCTCATTCTGCATGACTTTATGTCCTTTTGCCAACACTTTCCTAAATTTGTATTTCATACACATAGCATTTTTTCAGTAAATCACATGAAATCATGAAATATCGGGGACACATTTTTTTTACTTTTTAAAAAATATTTTATTTATTTATTGTGTATACAGTCTTCTGCCTGCATGCCAGTGGAGGGCACCAGATCTCATTCAAGGTGGTTGTGAGCCACCATGTGGTTGCTGGGAATTGAACTCAGGACCTCTGGAAGAACAGTCAGTGCCCTTAACTGCTGAGCCATCTCTCCAGCCCCTCGGGGACACATTTTTATTAAAAATTATTCACAGGCTGTAGAAATGACTCGCTGGTTTAGAGTGCTTGCTACTTTTCCAAAGGACCTGAGTTTGGTTCCCAGAACCCTTGTTGGGTTTCTTACAGGATCTAACACATTCTTCTGGGATGTGATGCGTGTGCGTGCGCACACATACACACACACACACACACACTCATGCACGCACACATTCACACACATGCGAAGAAAGGAAGAAAGGAAGGTAAAAATAGCAAAAAATTAAAAGGAAGGTAATAATAGCAAAAGATTATTCACCATCAGGAACTAAAAATTGACTAGGTATTCTGTGTTTTATCTCCTAGTCCTGGGGATAAGTCTAGGTTTCTGTGGTTTTTGTTTTCAACTCTCTCTGTGGAACCAGAGCTAGCCACAGGATGGAAATCTTCCAATGCAAAAGAAACAGCTTTGGTTGTCACTCCCCACCCCTGCAGGAGAGAACTGAGAGAGCCGGGCTCTAGCGGTTCACATGCAGACAGTTTAAAATATAGATATGAGTCTGAGAAAATTGTGGTTCTTGTCTTATCAATCAGTAAGCAGATCTTGGGATTAGCTACTGAAAGTAGATGGAATTGTATCAGAAGTGTTTTCAGTATGAGTACCAATAACATGGCCCAAAGAACAACTAGGGTTTCTTAAAGTACCTACCAAATATAAAATTAAAAATGTCCTCTGGTGACACAAAATGTTTATGTCTTAGCCATCAAATTTTAATGATTTGAGGGTCTCAGGGCTCATTTAGAAATTTCAACAATCATTAATTTGGGATGGGGAGAGTTTTCTGTAAACATGAAATTAGCTCTGAATATATACCCCATGAGGGGTAAAGGAAAGAGCATACATGAGTTTTCACCATATTAAGACCTAAATTTAAAACCATGTTCACTGCTCCCTAATATGGTTTTCAATACATTTAGTTTTTATTTCACAAATTTTCAAAGGCTAAATGACTGCATAAAAATTCAACACTCAGTCCTAGTCCCTGCATTTTCATCTTGCTGCATATGTACTGACGGACTTCCCCCACCCCCTGCTTTTGGCTCACCATTTGATTATAGACCACAGATGTCATGACATTTCATCTCTAGACCAAAAGCAGCCTAGAAATCACAGCACTGTCGCTGCTTCTAAAATTTCAACATGAATTCAACAACATCTCAACTTATAGCACATATTTCAAATTTCCCTAATTATCTAAATCATAACCGCTATAGCCCCCACCCAGTGTTGCCATCTAGGTGGTTTTCTAACTCTTTTGGCTTTTCATGTCCTTCTGTATTCTTTATAGTCCACACCAGCTGCCCTAGGAGATTATACCCCATCTTGGCCTCTGATTCCTCATAGAGAATTTCCAGTGTGAGCAGTGTGGCGGTAATGACCTGATTTCTCCATGGAGCTGTGAGTCTTGGGATGCTACGTGTCAGCCTGCCTCCCACCACCACAATCCTCACAGAAAGACACATTTCCCTTGGGTAATTAGTAGATCGTGTGTTGGGTGACCTGTCACCCACTGTTTAACCGTTCACCAAAAACCTGATTCAGTTATTATAGTGCATGCTATAAAATGATGATCTGAGCATCAAATCATTCCTTCTAGAGCCATGAGCTGTCATTTCCCTGTTTCTCCCTCCTTCTTTCCTCGGGACTGTCCATTCGGTGTCTTATATCCATTATCATCATTTTTCTTTTAGATGATGACATCATTCTAGAATTGGTCAGCATCTGGTACTTCATGCTGGTGCATGGGCCCTTTAAGATGAGGCCACTTTAATCTTTAAATATTTTGTTTTCTGGTGCAAGGTGTTGCAAGCTCACTTCATATTTGAGCATTCCTTGTTGCAGACCTCAAATCTCATGTTTCTTCAAGGATATTGATCTCCTCAGAGGGAAATGTTCCTTAGAAATCTAAATTTAGGTACAATTACTCCTTGAGCTGCACATCCTCTTGGCCCTCCTAGCCATGAGTTAATACTGATGGGTACAATTGACTCTCACACCACAGAATTCTCTCAGTCAGCCCCCTCTTTACTATTATCTGAGGGTTCCAAGATGTTCCTTCAGCATTAATTCTACCCTAGTAAATACACAAAAGCATTTTCAGAATTACAAGGCCAATGCTTCTACCATTACAAACCTAGAACATAAACTGTAAAATTATCTGCAATGCCCTTATATGCTATACACAATTTGTAGTTGAGACTGTGAGTAAACATTTTCTGAACCCACCTGTGTGGATGGGTTGCTAATTTCACATACTGATGAATATTTTTCCATAAGTTGTTTTCTGATAAAAATCGTATATGCTGAGCCAGGCTGGGAGTTCTCCTGAGGAAAAGCCAAGAGAAGTGGAGGACCTGGTAGCAGTGACAATGAGTTTTCTTGGAGGCTTTTTTTGGTCCTATTTGTGAGATCAATGTTGCCCTTAATGATGGGGAAAGCAGGAAAATGGCGGAAATGAAAACTGAAGATGGCAAAGTAGAAAAACACTTTCTCTTCTATGATGGAGAATCTGTTTCAGGAAAGGTAAACCTAGCCTTTAAGCAGCCTGGAAAGAGGCTAGAGCATCAAGGAATTAGAATTGAATGTGTAGGTCAAATTGAACTTTTCAATGACAAGAGTAATACTCATGAATTTGTAAACCTAGTGAAAGAACTAGCCTTACCCAGAGAGCTGACTCAGAGCAGAAGTTACGATTTTGAACCAATGCAAGTTGAAAAGCCATATGAGTCATACATCGGTGCCAATGTCCGTCTGAGGTATTTTCTTAAGGTGACAATTGTGAGAAGGCTGACAGAGTTAGTGAAAGGACAATCTTATTGTTCACCAGCTTGCTACCTATCCTAATGTCAACAATTCTATTAAAATGAAAGTGGGCATTGAAGATTGTCTGCACATAGAGTTTGAATATAATAAGTCAAAGTATCATTTAAAGGATGTGGTTGTTGGAAAAATTTACTTCTTATTAGTAAGAATAAAAGCACAACACATGGAGTTACAACTGATCAAGGAAGAAATCACAGGAATTGGACCTAGCACCACAATGGAAACAGAAACAATTCCTAAATATGAAATGATGGATGGTGCCCCAGTAAAAGGAGCATCTATTCCGATAAGACTGTTCCTAGCAGAGTATGACCCAACCCCAACAATGAGAGATGTGAACAAGAAGTTTTCAGTAAGGTACTTTTTGAGCCTCGTGCTTGTTGATGAGGAAGGCAGAAGGTACCTCAAGCAGCAGGAGATCACCCTCTGGAGAAAAACACCTGAACAACTGAGAAAACAGAGGACGAACTTTCACCAGCAATTTGAATCTCCGGAATCACAGGCATCCGCAGAGCAGCCCGAGATGTAAGCAGAATAGGACAAAGCAGCAGGAACAAGAGCTATAGCCAAGAGGTGAAGCTCAGTGAGCTGAAGATGGTCCCACCTGGGAAAGTGCAGCTCTGTCTGCTGGTCTTCCTTACCCTCTAGCGCTGCGTCCCTCTACAGTGTGATTAAAGGTTCTTTATGTACATACATTTTACAAAGTGCTTTCTTGGAAACACCGGAGAATTCTCAAGCTGCCTTTTTGTTTTCTTTTTTACTGTACACTGATAAGCACTCAGATGCACCAGCATAAACATTAAGGAGTTTCATGTGCGTAGGCTGGTATTTGTAATTTTTTTCCTTACACACAATGTTGAAAATCCTTTTCTCTTTTTTCATGCTAATGATTCTTATTCTCTATGTGCAAAAAATTATTTTTTTTGTTCAAGTAAAATGAGGAAACCTGAGCAACCCTTATGTCCTGCAAAGTTTTAAGGCACAGAGCCTCAGTATTTTGAGAATTGTTTTTACATGTGTATCAGAAACCAAACTGGTGTTGCACGGTAGGTGCTTCTGGATCTACAGTTTTATGGCCTCCTGAATTTTAATCTTTGGGGTCTTCTAAGGTATATTAACATTTTCCAACCAAGGCTCGTCATTGTGGCCCTCTTCCCCCATAGTAACCTTTTTTGCTGTTACTGTCTTATCCCCATGTAGGTTCTGCAGTGTGGGGTTGATATGTTGGCATTTTAGAGCGCCTTACAAACCTGTATCATTTTTCTATAGATACTTTGGAACACACACACACACACACACACACATGGACTCTTTGCCATGTGTACAGAAATATTCATTTGGAGATGAAAGGGCTCAAGAGGACCTGTGAAGCATATGCAGGTATCCAGATCTGGACAATTTCTTGGTAACTAGAACATTGGCTAGTTCAAACTCATTTAAATGTCACCTAGTCTATTTAAAAACATAAACAACACACTAAATTCAAGTCATTTCTTCAGGGTCTCTGAAGGAGGCAGCTGCAGTCATCTGAGCACAGGTACACTAATGTGGAAAATGGGGCAAGATGGAGCCTGCTGGGGGAGCTGTGCTCACTCATGGTTCTTCTTTTTTCTTTTTGTATCAGTATTCTTTGACATACTTCAGAGAAAGTTTTGTCAGTAACCTTACTTTCTGAGGAAGCTGAACAGCCTGTGTCCATTTCTCTAATCCTGTTACTATGACGGCACTTTAATAAAATGGCCAGCAAGCAACCTTGGCCAAACTTTCCACATACCACGTCCTGGAGTAGCTATTGTAAATGTGGATTTCTAAGAATGGCCATGTTTCCCTTCAAGTAAGTGCCTGTTCAGAGTTTCAAATTTTCAAAATGCCAAATATTTTCATGGTCACTTGCATGTAGTAGTCTAGGAGATATTCAGAGATTTTGAAAACCAATTGTATTTAACCAGCCTCAAGTTGTGAAACTATGATATATAATAAATAATTTGAAACAGAAAAAAATCTTATGTGCTATTTATATATAAAAAAATCATCCAATTAGTGAAGTCTTACTCTAAATCCTCTCTACATTGTCTTCTCCCATCTGCAAAGTAAGCAGTATTGGTTGGTATTTATGTCTGGTAGGCCTTTTCCTTTCTTTTCCCTTTTTTTTCCTTTGGTTTTTTGAAGCAGGGTTTCTCTGTGTAGCTTTGAAGCCTATCCTGGAACTAGCTCTTGTAAGACCAGGCTGGTCTCGAACTCACAGAGATCCACCTGCCTCTGCCTCCCTAGTGCTGGGTTTAAAGGCATGGGCAACCACTGCTGGACTCTGGTTGGCTTTTTCTTCTTTGTTTTTTCCACTAACAATGTATCTTATAAATAAATATGTATCAGTTCGTAGATATTGTCCCCATTCTTTTTGTAGCTGCTATAACTTCACAATCAGTCAGCTCTTTTCTAGATTGGTATTTAGATCGCAACCATGCGCTGCTGAACCTGATAGTGTCACAATAGATAGAGTTGTGAATGGGTTATTTTAAACTGGTGGTTTTGCAAGTTAAGGGAAGATTTCTAGGAGTAGAATTTTCAGATCCTAAAGTAAATATCTATATAGTTTTGTTAGAGATTTCCAAATCCTCATTTATAAGGATCATAACATTTTATATTCATAGAAGCAATGGATGGAAGTTTCCTCAGTTCCCTAGTGCATGCCCAGTGGAGTATTTTAAACTAAGTAATATAATCACAAGCAATTCACTAAGTCTCTTTGTACCTTCCTTCCCTACTTAAGATAAAAATGAAATCCTGTTGTAGTGGCACATACTGGTAGGATATGCCAAAGAAACAGTCAAAGAATCATGAGTTTAAGCCTGGCCTACACATTTTCCTTTTCCCCTCCGCTTATGAGGGAACCCTCCCTACCCAGATACAGACCCAGGAACCTCATACCTGTGATGACACCAACAACAATTGTCACCACCACCACAAGAAGAAACCCAAATGCACTCCACAGTTCTCTTAACACTTCCTTTTCTGCTTCTCTCTCCAGAACCTTGCCCTGCTCATCCCTCGAAGACCCACCTCCAAAGGTTGCTTGGATGATCAAATATATATCATATACAACATCCCTTTAGGTTCATTCTGTTGCTATGACAAACACTACAATCAAGCAATTTAAGAGAAAAAGGACATATTTGGCTTACATGTCCAGGTCACAGCCCATCATTGAGGGAAGTCGGGGCACTTGAAACCAGTTCTGCCTCATACTCCTTGAAGAATTACCTCCAGCCTAAGCAGGGATCATTCACCACCAATGAGGTACGTCATGAACTATAGAGGAGTGCTGCTGGCTTGTTCACTTGTTCATTCTTTGACTGATTTAGTATGTCTCCCAAGACCTCCTCCTAGGAATGATCTGGACCTTCTTGCATCAATTAATAAAGACAATTTCTCCCAGATACATACAACCTGATTTAGACAACTCCTCAACTTAGGTATTTTTTTGATTTGAGGCTGTACCAAGTCGTCAATTAGAGCTAACTAGGACAACATCTAACTTGACATCCTTCTGCCTTATCCTCATGAGTATTGAGATTACAAGTGTGCACTACCACACTTGGCCCTGTGTGTGTGTGTGTGTGTGTGTGAGAGAGAGAGAGAGAGAGAGAGAGAGAGAGAGAGAGAGAGATGTAGTTCTCTTTCTCTAATACAAGTATGCAGCCTAACAAGTATATGGAGTTAACATTTGAAAACTGTAGCCAAGACAGATTAGCAAGGGGCTGCCTTGGGGTATTAAACTGTGGAAACATTATTTGCAGACTTCCGTGATGAGATGGCACAGTCCTTTATCAATTAAGTTCCTTTTTATAGAAGAAAGGTGAACCTAGGGGGTCATAGAAGTACAACAGTTTCTTGAGTTGAATGTATATTTGGCTGATTTAATGAAAATGGGAAATGGAAAACTAAATAGTTTTATAAACAGAGGGGGCAAAAGCCAGGGAGTTACAGATATCTTACAGTCCACAAAAATCCTTGATTCTCTTGTTCTAAGTGGGAGGGATTTGATAGCAGAGCCAAGAAGCCAGCATTTACAGGATGAACAGCCATGTAATGGAGAGGTAAGGGTTACATGAGGAACAGCCCGGCTCAGAGTGAACAAACAACATGACAATCATCCACACAAAGCGATACATCAAGTGCAAATTAATACACCGCTAGTCTTATGAAGACATTACTTATCTAATGATCTCAACTCTGGACACAGCCCTAAATCATTTAGTATGCAAATCAGTTTCTGAGCAGTGAAAATATGAGTTAGAAAATGTATGACTTCCCTGGATACATTTTATTTATCACAATTCTGAATAATTTACAGACTTTGGCTTTTATTCTTGAGAGACACAGGAAGGCATCGTGGGGTTCTGAGCAGAAGATAAGTGTAAACTAGCTTGCATTCAAAGCATCCCTCTGCCACCATGTTGAGAGCAGACATGAATGGATAGCAAGAACAGCAACCAGAAGGTATGGCAACAACCCAGGCTGCAGGTAACAGATGTGTGGGCGGAATGGAAGACGTGGAGTCAGCAAGAACTGATGAGCTTCTGGTACATATTTAAAGTCAATCCAAGATGGTTTCCTGAGAGATAGAGATAGAGATAGATAGATAGATAGATAGATAGATAGATAGATAGATGATAGATAGACAGACACAGAGACAGAGACAGAGAGACAGAAAGAGAGTCCAAACTTTTTGCTAGACAAATGCTGTTTCTAAAAACCGAAATGGGAAAGATGGTGGAAGAAACAATTTGGACAGAAAGGTTGGTACTTTCTAATGATGATATATTGGCATCAAAAAGTTACATTCAGTAGACATGACTGTAAAAATCAGTGAGGTATGATCATAGAAAATTTTCCTTTAAAGTTAGTTTTCATGACTAACCATTGACAACTCAAGAAAAAAGGTTAAGGCTTTAAATTTTTCTATTTCATAGAATAGCCATTGTCTTGAAAAGACAGAAAAAAATGAAGCATTAGGTTTCCTCAGGAGCTGAGGGGATGATTAATGGATAACTAGCTTTAATTGTGAGAACTTGGGGGAGGTCTGCAGGAGTGGTTAAGTCTAACTCAGAAAAAGGGTTGATGGAAGAGAGCAGAACAGGCTTGCAGGGTCTCTGCTAGGCTCTTAGAGATGGACAGACCCTTCCTCAGGGAGAACTCAGGAAGTCTCCAGTCGGGGTTGTCTGTGGAATCAGTAGGTAAAAGAGACAGCAGAACTATGGAGTGAACTGTGGGATTCTCTGAGAGAGGAGGCAAAGTGAGCTGGAGAGTCTCAGCCTTAGAAAAGGAGTCAGTAGTCCTGACTCTGCAGGGAAGGTGACCAGATTGTGTCCGAGGCACCTTTACGCCCCAGTTAAAATTCTGTACTTCTAAGTGAGACTTCTTCTTTCAGCTTGGGAAGGGGTCATTATTCAGAAGGTATTAGCCAACTGTTCATCACCTCCAAAAAGGATGTGAGGACTGTACGCTGATCCGTTAATCCTAACAGAA